TTTTTAAAAGTATATGCGTTTATATTGTTTTTATTTTTGTAAGTAAAATAAATGTTTTATTTTATTTTTATTAAAAAAAAACATTATTAAATTTAATGCCTAACCATTTTATCCGTCTTCCCCTAACCCCATTATTTACATGTTAAGATAGCCTCGCTTAGCGCTGTTTCGCATTACGCTCTACTTCGATGGAACGTTTCGGAGAATTCAGTTAGCGTTATTTAATTTTGGCAATAGCATTTTTATTTACCCCATGCATTTCCTATTTGTGCATAAATTTCATCATGTTGTGGCTATGAATTAGAAGTTTCTAAATAATATGTTGAAAAAGCTGGGAAAGGGGGGCATAGGTGAAAGATAGAGATTTCCGAGCAAGTAAGATGCAATTTTCGCATCATCATATCCGAGCGTACTGAAGTAAGAATAATCCAAAAATATCCCTGTAAAATTGCAATCAATCAACAGGTAGCAGGGGGGGGGTAAAATTTATCTCCCTGCTACCTGTTGATTGATAAAAATATTTTATTTATTTATTTATCCGGATAAATAAATAAATAAAATATTAAAATATTTTATGATATGTTGTTGAATTAAATTTTATGTGGTATAAGTGCAAAGAATGTAGTACTTATAAAAAAAAAGTATTTAAAACCTGAAAGCTTTGAGATTTTATATTACGCCCAAAGAGAAGGGTTTTTTTTTCCTTCCCCCATTCGCACACAAATATTTTTTTTGAGAACATTTCGGCTAATGTCCGTTTGGCCTAAAAATTTTTAAAAATAGCAAAATCTATAGCATTTCCGATAGACAATCTCGTAAAGGAGATAAAAATACTTTTTTTTTTTTTTTTTTTTTTTTTTTTGCATGGTGTTTCCCATTGCTCACTTTGAAATCGTTGAATTTGATAATTAAAAAATTGTTAAAATGTTATAAAATATGAAACCTACAATAAAGCAAATTCAAAATTTCAAATTCGTTCTTTCTGGTGCCCATATTCGGGTGGAGAACTACATTATTCAAAATTTGATGGGTCTAGGTATCGTTGTTTTTTCACAATGCGAGAAACATACATTTTATGCAGATTCTTCATTATTTAACTTCTTTCAATATAATACAGGGTGATAATATTCGGTGGCAACAATTTGGAAAGTGAAACTGACATTTATAGTGAAGCAATGCAAAATGTTGTTTCGAGACTAATAGCGCTTTTGGGCTAACGCCCGTTGGGCTAAAAAATTCCTTAAATGTCTTAAATTAATCTCGTAAATCAGGATTTTAAAATATAATTAGATTAAAATGGAAAAAAAGTATGAAAATTTCAGATTTTAACAGTCTCCAAAAAAAGCTTTGTTAAGGTTTTTTACGCTCTCACTAAGCTTGCAGCCAACCAGTCTGCTGTTGCTCTCATTCCTACTACTCACAATTGTTTTATCTTTTTAGCTTTATATTTTTCTTCGCACTTACGCCATATAGAATTCAAGAACAAAATTACGAAAATTTTAAAAGCAACATTACAGTGTACATTTAGAACTCCCAATACAACGTTAAGTGTCGGCATACATTTTCCTGTTTTTCTCTTTTTTCAGTCTTTTCTCTATTCATTATACCAATGTTCATTTTTCTTACTGAGATGGCTTTACAAAACAGTTTTTATTATTAACTTTTGTATCTTTACTTTAATTTTTAAATATCAAATTTTTGCTCTTACGCCACATAAAATTCTATTCAACAGCAAAATCACAAAATATTTAAAAACAGCATACCTTTAGAGTTTTCGATAGACAGTTTTACGTGCTGGAGATACAAATGTTTTATTCCGTACACTGTTACCACTGCTCGCTTTCAAATCGTTTGTTAATCAAAAATTTGTTAAAGCTTTACAAAATATGAAACAAACAATAAAAAGAATTCAAAATTCAAAATTCGCGCTTTCAGGTACTCATGTTTGGGTTGAGGACTATGTTATTCAGAATGTGATGGCTCTAGATATCGTTATTTTTTCACAATGTGAGACATTTAGGCAGATGCCATATATAAAGACAACTGGCAAAAAGCCTGCAAATTCACGCTGGCTAGGCCCAGTATAACAACGGTAAATGGAAATAGCATAAATGTAAAAAACCACCACTATTGCCATGTGTAATTTTCTAAATTACATCAAACAAAGATAATATTTGATAGATGTTCAACTTGATAGTATTATTATATAACTAAAGTAAGATATGAATTTAAAATGATTTTAATATTCCTTTATATGGATCTGATTGTTTATGTCAGAAATAAAAGCAAAGTACCAAAAGTACATTTACTAAGATTTTTTTTTTTCCTTTGGTATGCCTTTTAAAATTCTTTTAATAAAGATTAAAATGGTTAAGGTGAAAAACAGAAATGTTGAAATATGCATTTAATATGTTTGCTAGGTAATTATTATTATTATAAATATACATTAATTAAATGCAATATATCCATAATTATGCCACGTAATTAGCACAAAAGAGTGTTAGCTCAAAAGGGTTATTAGTGTCGAAACAGGATTTTGCGTCATCCACTATGAACTCATAATCACTATAAACTCGGAATCACTTTTTAAATTGTTGCCACTAAAAGCCATCGCCCTTTATTATCTTTAACGAAATTAACTAACGAAGAATCTGCATGCATGTATGTATGTTCCTCCCATTGTGAAAAAAACGGCGGTACCTAGAGCCATTGAATTTTGAATAACGGGGTCCTTCATCCGAGCATGTGCACCTGAACGCCCGAATTTTGAATTTCAAATTTCATATTTTGCAAAACTTTAATGAATTTTTTATTAAAAAACACTCATTTGAAAAAGAGTAGTGACAACACTGTACGGAATAAATCATTTTTATCTCTAGCTCTCGAGACTGTCTGTCGGAAATTCTAAAGATATACTGTTTTTAAATAGTTTGTGATTTTGCTGTTGAATTGAAGTTTATGTGACGTAAGTTTAAAGAACGTGATATCTAATAAATAAAGTTAACACATAAAACGTTAATAATAAAATGACACACAAAAAGTTTTTAAGGTTATCTTACTAAGAAACTGAACATTAATATAACGATCTGAGGAAAAAAAATTGGAAAAAAAAAAAAAAATAGAAAATTCATACCAACATTTAACACGTTAATTCTAAATACATGCTGCTTTTAATTTTTTTTATAATTTTGCTGTTGAACCGTGTATGGCGTAAGTACGAAGAAAATGGTGTTTAATAATACAGTTAGCAGGGAAGAATGCAACAGCAGACTGATAGACAGCCAGCTCAGAGAAAGCGCAGAAAACCTTAGTAAATGCTTTTGAGCGATTGTTGGAATCTGAACTCTGTCAGATTTTTTCCTTTATTATTATTAGAGTATATAATGTAATTAATATTTATACTAACATTTTTGGCCTTAACGTAATATACTCGTCAGGTAATTATTACCTGCACGTACAAAGATGCTGTAATAGGAAGAGGAAGAGTATAACCATAGGAGTTGTAACGGGCATCCCCGCATTCTGAGCTGGTTATGCTCATACATCTCAACTCAATAAACAGCATTCTCTCATTTTGAGCGAATATAAGACATCAAATTCAGTAGCCCTTCTTTTTCCTTCATCGCCCAGTCATCAAATTGATAGTATTTTTAAAAAATTTAATTTTCGCGTCGTTTTTCCTGTGATCAGTATAATTCACAGTTCCATACTTGCAGATCTCATTCCGCATATGAACGCATGTAGTATATGCGGTATTCCTTGTCAGTGGGGCTTAGTATATATCGGCCAACTAAGAAAGGCTTAAAATTTCATACTAAGAAGAATGAAGCGTAGTACGTTATGAAAAAAAGAAACACACCAATCTTTTATTTCCCAGCAATTACTGGTCTAAAAATAAACACATTTTCCAATCCTCTGCAGCAAAAATTATTCAAAAAACATCTTGACTGTTTCACATTCTTCAAAATCTTTCAGTTTTTACCTTTATTATTAAAAAGAATTATTTCATAGCTTTTTTTTTACATTTTGTCAATTGATGGCACTAAAAGCTTTGCTTCAAAACTTTCTCTAATTTTTGTCAATTAGTACCTCGGGAATACATGCCTTACATCGTCATTTTCACTTCTGCAGCTAAAGAATAAGGTTTTATTTAATCTTTGAAACTAGCCTGGCAAATTTATGCAAGCTACGGTGACTCTTGAGGGTGTAGTATTTGCGGCATTTTAGCAAGTAACAAGACATCTCTTCTGAAACTCCGGTTTAAAGTTTACTCATAAATAAGCAAGAAAAAATTAAATCCGGAACAGTTTTCTTTTAAAGGCATTAATGATTATCTTACAAGAAATCTTTTCAGTGATAATTTTCAAAAGGTTATTCTTTTCGTATATAGCTGCGGGATGAAACTGAGGTATATTAAATCAAGGCTAGATTAAAAGAATTTTATTCTGACACCAAAATAATTCATATTAAAATACAAGCTAAATATTTATGTTATAAATTTTTAAAACTATATAGAAGAAACTTCAATATATTCATAAAATTAGTTCGTTTAACTCATTCATGTCGAAAAGAATTAAACTAATTAATGCAAATAAACCTACTTAATCAATGCCGAACTTAGTACATTTAATAAACAGTAAAACAGAGTGGTAACTGAAAAGCGCAACCCTTGAAAACTTTGTAAATACTGCAAGAAAGTAAAAATGGTCAGGAAGAATTTTTGACTGAATATTGTGTTTATTAGCTAATTTTCAAGGCAGTCCTAGGGAAAAAATTTTCGCCAAAATTGCTAGAGCATTTCAGAGAGTAAAAATAGTAGAGTTATTTTATTTTAGCTACACAAAAAGATGTTAATGAAAAATATCATTAGATCCCCAAAACGCAATAGGCAGATAAAATATGTTGATAACGAGGACACTCCTTTTTCCGTTAAGCATAACAAAAGCTTTTCTCAGATTTTGCAGTTATGTTATCGCTCTTTCCTATTATAGACCTGAAACTGTAACAAAACAGTCAAACCGTTTATGACACCGTTAGCTTGAGTTTGTTTTAGAACCGTAAAGCAGGGGAAAGACGAGGATCTTTCAACATGGCTGCGCGGTCACATGTGGATTCTGGAGTGAATGAGCGGAGATTGCGTCCAATTTACGGTTTGTTATTATGTTTTTAGAACCTGACAGATTTGCCGATTAACTTATATGTATATAAACCAATCATTTATTCATCATAAATGCCTAGTTTATAGATTCAGCTGTTATTTACGGATTTTAGTGTAAAATAAAGTATTAATATTTGTGTTCAAAAATATTTTAATGTATTAATTTTTAGTATTAATTGCGCTAATATAATTTGCGGAATAGCAGAGTAATAAATTTGTTTTAGAACGTAACTGATCATAAAGCCAATATGTCCGTACTCTAAATTTTGTGTTCAATCGTGTATTTCAAGTATAGTTTATGTAATTTGGTATTTAAGTGCTGATCTTGAATTATATTGTAATATTTAAACGCTAATCAAGAAATGATTTATGAAGTTCATTTTCTCAGTGCCTTTTTAATTTAAAATTATATTCCGCACTTGGAATTGTTTACTTTGTGTTTTTATATAATACTGAAAACTCTAGTATGTAGAGTTAAACTTTTATTAAAATTCATCTTGTGTAGGTTTGGTTTTCCATTCTTCGCGGATGTGACATTGACATTAGCTTTTTTTATCACTTGTCAGTCACATTTCATCATTTCTTGTTAGTTGACGTTTAATATACAGAATAATTTTATTTACCTTAATGAAAAACTATCATTGTAAAAAAGGTTTCCTAAATATGGTACCTCCTGCTAATTTAATATGTGTCGTTATTTATATTATTAATGATTGATTTTATGAAATCATTTGTGTATTTATTTCTCAGGTATTATGTGTGTTGTAAATATGAATTATAATTATAAAATTTCAGATTGTTTAGACAATGGCAACAACAAAAAAGCCTTACAGGAAGCTGACAAACTACTTAAAAAGCAAAAAGACTTTTTGTGTGCAAAGGTATTATGAATATGATTTTTAAATGTATCTGAAAAGTTATAACTGCTATTTATTGTACTTATTCTTAACTGCATGTAAATGTTTTTTGTTAAATTGTAATAAAAAATAATAATGAGTATCTAAAGAAAGTAAGTTGGATGGATTTCCACTGTAATTTCAAAATGTGTTAAAAAATAATCTTGTATGATTATAATAATCAGTGATGGCCAGTTTCCATGCTGAGTGATGGTCTGGCTAAATCCTAAATGGACTGTAACTCTTAGTTAAACTAATTAACAAACTAAACAATAATATATTATCACTTTTATTTCACTCATTTATGAAAGACACTCAGGCTTTCACTTTCACTCTACTTCGCCATTGAAGCAAACTCTAAAAAGTAAAGTAATAACATTCTTTTTGTAAACAGTAGTGATGGCAACGCCATCGGGCTTAAAAGGGATTTAACACTCCTCCGGATTGATATTACACAATTTCAAGGAATTATACAAACATTCTTAAAACAAAATTAATATACTTATAAACAACATAATACCATTACTGTAACTACAGCTATTACAATACTAGAACAAGATACAATACATATGCAAAAATATCATTTCAGTTTCCTACAGGAAGAACGGCAATCTTTGTGATCGCTCTTTTTAATTCTGATTTTGTTTTGATTTTAATGGTTCTTATTTTATTGTCAGCTCTCCATGATAGACTTTAATAACCCGACCTAAAATCCATTTGCAAACTGGCAGATGGTCCTCCTTGACGAGTACCATAGTACCAACAGAAATATTGTCCTTCACTATCATCCACTTTTCTTTCTGCTGCAGAGTTCCTAAATAGTCATTTGACCATTTCTTTCCAATAATCTGCACTACTTTCATTGTTCTCTGCCACTGGCTTAACCGATTTTCATTTACGTCTATTATCATTGGCTCTGGAATCGCCTGTATCGATATCTCTATTAAGAAATGACCTGGGGTCAAAACGTCATAACAATCAGAATCATTGGAAATAGATGTAGAGGTCTCGAATTTAGTATTCCCTTCTAACTGCACAATTATAGTTTCAAACTCCTCATATGTAAAACACAAAATTCCTATTGTTCTCTTTAAGTGTTGGACTTAAAGAAACTTTATGGACTTTACACCGGATTTCCATAGCTCTCCGAAATGAGGGGACTTGGGAGGTATAAAGTTCCAGTCTATTCTTTCGGACGTGAAATATGAGGCCAAAGTTTTGTCAGGAAAATTAATTACATTGTAAAATTTCTTCAGCAAAGAATTTGCTCCTACAAAATTAGGGGCATTATCAGTGAATATTTTCGCACATTTGCCACGTCTGGCCGTGAAACGCTTAAGAGTGGCAATAAAAGCACTAGAAGTTAAATCTGACAAAGGCTCAAGATTAATAGCTCGTGTCACAAAACATATACATACACAAATGTAAATTTTATTTAGCACAACCTTTCTTTGATACTTGTAAGTGACATAAAAGGGACCGCATAGTTCCAAACTGGAACAGGGTTCGTACGGTCCTTAAGAGTCCTTAAGTTTTTTGGAATTGATTTTTGGTCCCTAGAAGTCCTTAATTTTGGCCAAAATCGGCAGAAGGTCCTTAATTTTAATCATCTGAAATTTCTGTTTGTTTTTTACAACTGCCATTTTGGGTGTGAATTAGCATTTTGCAGGAATATTTTTGGCGAATCACTGGCAAATATGGCTATTTTTTGAATGTTGGTTCACGAGTTACAATTTGTTCCTATTTGTAATATAAATAATGGTGAGATACTCGAGTTTCTGAGCAAGAAGTGAAACATAAGCATTTCAAAATTATTTCATTTTTTATAATGAAGAGCTCTCAAACAACTTTCCGCTTTTGGGGATGTGAAATCTTTTATTAAACGGTTCTAAACTTCGCGATTATCAACATTTTGGCGATTTTAAGGTCGATTTCTATGGAAAATTTTTAATTCCAAGATCTGAGAATTTTTTGATGATTTTTTAGAACATTCTAACATTGATAAATTTCATTAAAATCATGGTAATATATTGGAATTATATTTAAGAAATAACATTAAAATAAAGCATTTGGTTGATCTTTACATTATGGTAACTTGGCATTTTTTTGGCGAAAATTTGGCGACCAACTCTCCTACAGCAACCCTCTATTTTTTTTTCCCGCCGCCATTTTGTCTTCACGAAGTAAAGACATGTTTCTTTTCTTTTAATCTACTGAACACTTCTTCCAACAATCTACTAGCCGAATTACACTTATGCTAGAAATTTTTATCTAACAAAACTGCTTAATCATGACAAATATTCACTGCAAAATTGGGAAAAAGTGCACAATACCATACTCCTTACGCGTTTTTCAAAAATAACACATACACATAAACCATGTACACGCCGACTTATTTTTACTTAAAAAAACATCCCAGAATTGCACAAAAATGGCATTGCGCACACTCTTACTATATCCATGTACACTGCTTTTTCTCATAAATTAGAAAAATTTCACGAAAATACATGACAATTTTCTGAATCTTTAAACCCGGTAAAAAGAACATATATGAATTACTGATCGCGAAAAGTATTTACCCTTTCCAAATATGAACATTTCCACATATAAAATAAATAAAATATCCAAAAACTTTTACCTCTAAATCATCTATTACATTATACACGTCACCAACGAATTCATACCGCAAGCATTACAAATACTTAGTATCAAATATTTAAATTATTTCCATGCACGTTTACTTCAACTTAAACGTGTACCAAATTCCTACAAACATAAAATTCACAAAATAACTATCATTTAATTAAAATATCACTAAACCATGTACACGTCGACTTATTTTTACTTAAAAAAAATATCCCAGAATTGCACAAAAATGGCATTGCGCACACTCTTCACTATATCCATGTACACTGCTTTTTTCTCATAAATTAGAAAAATTTCACGAAAATACATGACAATTTTCTCAATCTTTAAACCCGGTAAAAAGAACATATATGAAATTACCTGATCGCGAAAAAGTATTTACCCTTTCCAAATATGAACATTTCCACATATAAAATAAATAAAATATCCAAAAACTTTTACCTCTAAATCATCTATTACATTATACACGTCACCAACGAATTCATACCGCAAGCATTACAAATACTTAGTATCAAATATTTAAATTATTCCATGCACGTTTACTTCAACTTAAACGTATACCAAATTCCTACAAACATAAAATTCACAAAATAACTATCATTTAATTAAAATATCACTAAACCATGTACCGCGACTTATTTTACTTAAAAAAAAAAAACATCCCAGAATTGCACAAAAATGGCATTGCGCACACCCTTCACTATATCCATGTACACTGCTTTTTTCTCATAAATTAGAAAAATTTCACGAAAATACATGACATTTTTTCAATCTTTAAACCCGGTAAAAAGAACATATATGAAATTACCTGATGCGAAAAATAATGAACATTTCCACATATAAAATAAATAAAATATCCAAAAACTTTTACCTCTAAATCATCTATTACATTATACACGTCACCAATGAATTCATACCGCAAGCAATTACAAATATTATGTCAGATATTTAAATTATTTCCATGCACGTTTACTTCAAACTAAAAAACGTATACCAAAAACAAACATAAAATTCACAAAATAACGATCATTTAATTAAAATATAATTAAATCAAAAACACTACTTAAAATATAAATGAGCACATACATAAATTAATAAATACATAAATCCCCATTTCGAATTCACTTCAGTTACGGCCATGGGATCCAAAAATTCATGAACACTGTTTCACAAACAGAATAAAGCCAAATACAAAATTCCAGATTTTTCCGATTTCCCCCTTTTCCGATTAAAGAACCGTAATTCGTCCATTAATATCACATGACATAGCCATGATCTCTCATTTCCCCACACAAAATAATGCGTAATCGACGAGTACTGCTCCAATTATTACCAAGTGCCAGGGATAACCTTTATCGCCTCCAAAAGTCGCCAAACTACCAGTACCAATGTAAAGATAACCAAGCTTTTATTTTTCTTCTAAGCAGTCTTTAATTCGGACTCGTCGGGACTTCGGCGATTCCGGATTATCGATTTTTCCGGATTATAGATCATCAGTTTAAATCTGGTAAGATGGCATGCAGAAATTATAAAATTAAAAATATGAAACCGTAATTTATAAAATAAATGAGCAATTATGATCTAAAGGGTATCAAAATTTAAAAAAAAAAAGCTTAATATTTATTTGTTTACTTTATTAAACATTTCTTTCAACGCGCGCATGTGTAATACATTACGCATAGCCGAAATTAGAAAATTGCAACCAGAAAACTATTTGATTTGTATTCGTGATATTTATAATGACGAGGAATTTGATTTAAATCATATCAAAGACGGAGTACATCGAGATGAAATACTACATTTAGTAAGGAATTATAAGCCGAATAAAATAAAAACATCTGCCCTGAAGATAACGATAGTGCTGACAGATCAACTTCCAGTTCATTGCGCGCCGCGACGTCCCCCCCCCCCGCGCAGAGCAGCGTGAAATTGATAAACAGATTTCGGAATGGTTAGATAAACAAAGGATATGCCTTTATCCATTTTTTGCAGCAATTTCACTTTTTGTTTGATGGACATCGAAACATACTTTCGTTTTGTAGATCCTTTGGGAGCTCCAGCATCGGAAATTCTATTTGACATAATCGAAAGTTCAAGCTTACTTTTATAAAATTGCTCTAACAGTCTGCAAAAAATAATAAGCCGGATCCAATTCGAAGATTAAGGAACAACGCAATCATCAACATTAACTGAAATAGATAATTAGATAATTTTAGCTTATACCGTCCGTTATACATTAAATGCGCACGCGAAAACGTATTCTGCGCTTGCGCACACGCATATGCGCAGTCGTAAAGGTCTTGCGCGCACGCGTAAACGCCTATGCGCATGCGTCAACG